ACAGATAAGCACGAAGCTCGCACGTTCTAGAAATAAGGGGGAGATAACTCACAATTTTCTAATTGGAGCAGAAATAATCTTATAATATTGTATATATTTCCTACCAGTATATATTTCTAACCAGTGTTCAATTACGATACGCATATTTAAGTGTCTACAAAATGTAAAAAGATTTTTAAAAGCACAGATATTAAAAATAAAATAATATATATCTATTTGCTTGATGCGATTTTTATTTCTGCGTGAAGCAAAATTAAGACAAATTTAATATCAGCATATTTTCTTTATCATAAACGCTTTGAAGTTAATTGTAGTAAAATTCAAAAAAACATATAATTCTTCTTTCATATTAAATAACTCCTGTAATAAAAAATATATATTCAAATACATCCAAATCTTTTTTATTCTAAATAGAATCTTTATAGCTTAAAATTTTACTCAAATACGTCTAAGTTATTAATTTTTTTCAAAGTATTCAGATATATCTTTTTAATAAACTTAAATTATTATTTTACATTCCTTGACGTTAGATATACGAAAAGAAAATAATTTGTTAAATATTATCAAATATTATTTAAGTTGCAAAATAAACTTTTGAAATTTTTAAATAAGTACTTTTTATAATTTTAGTAACAACAACGGAAATCAGAAATTTATGTCAACTTGGAGTCAGCGACCTTCAAATATGAAAAGAACGAGACGCGTTACCGTTAGATTCATTTAAATTGCGTGACATTTTTTATGACTAGTTTAATTTACGGGACAGTCGTGGATAAGGTCATTTTTGTTAACACATCAGGTAGAAAAGAAATCGTACAGGTGACGCATTACCTCCTTCGACCTTGCTCCAAAAACATTTTCGCACCCTCGCTTAAGATATATACTTTTGTATGCTCGTCACGCTTCTTTAATTGGTCAAGATGCCGTTATACTTGAAGGAAAATAAAGATCTCAATATTTTTTATGGTTAAAGTTATTCAACAATACGGTAAATTTTGTTCCATCTTAAAAGACAGTGTACATTTATATTGTGGAAAGATAAATGTTTCTACAAATTACAAATACTTGGTTTATCAATTTAAATCACTTAAGGATGTAATTAATTTTTTATTACAATATTTAATGTTATAAATTTATATTTTTTTGTACGGGCAAAACTGGATGCTGTAATCAGAGCATATGTAAGTTTGTGAATATATTTAAAGGCAATACAAAATATATATACTTCATGTGCTTCACATGTTCATACGAGTTATGTGCGTGCCGCTATCCGACGGTAACCATGGCGTAGGTAATATGAAACTCTATATGAAAGTTTCTGTTAAATTCAATATATTAATAAATTCCAATTGTTCTTCTATTAATTTATTTTCGCGGCAACTAAAAAACTGATTTAGCTTTTATTAAGTTATATATCATTTTATTTATGTATTATTTTATTTGTATAGTTTTGAATGTAGTATCACATAAACTGTACAAATACTGATAAAATTAAATAAATACAAATATAAATACTGTGATTTGTAATATTATATATAACATAAAATATCTATTGATAGTACATAAGCAATGTAATTTAGCAAGTAACATAATTTAATTAAAAACAAAATGCAAAGTTAAAGAGATCTTGAGAAATCAGTTTTATATTGTTAATATTTAGTATTGTTAATATTTAACAATAAAGAAAGTAAAATATCGAGTAATTGAGAGCACTTAATAACGCGGTAATTCGTGCGTAATAATAAAATTATGTATTTGTGATCTTACATAGTGATTACAATATAGTCGAACGTTTTGGCTCCATTCGAGCCATTTTCAGCGATGTTAGTATAAACAAATTT